CTTCATACTCATCGCCCTGATGATGGAGGCAGTATGACCTCTGAAACGTTTGTTAACATCGACCAGACTACACAGCGCAACAACCCAGAAGACAGAAATGTTCTTACAATTTAATGTCTAATTCGGCCCTAACCACTAATTACTAATCCCTACAGTCTGCATTCTTAGTGTGAGAGAAAAATAATTTGATGCACTAACTGGTTGTTGTATTTTGTGTTACAATAATTCTTGTCATAAGTTACACTTGTACAAATGCGCAGCTCGACCGTAAAGTTGTCATAGAATGAAACAATTTAACAGCTGCACAAATCAGGGAATATGTGATTCAAGCAATCTCACATGTCGCTAAATGCACTTTAAAGTGTTCTTTTCAGACCAGTAAGATTTATTAATATATTTATACTTTGTCGCTCTTCTCGTTGGTGCTCCCTTCAAAACCTTATATGCAAATGAGCGGCTACAACAAAATAAATCAAACAGTAAATTAATTTACTACTCCAGAAAGCACATAAGCAGTGAAGAAGCTGGATAAATTTGTTTCCAGAGTGGTCTCAGCCAACGTGGTCCTCATATCGCGAGCGTTCCGGCACCAGTTTGTAATTCCAGACTTCCAGGGCTTCACAAAGCACATCGAGGAATTCTACTGGAAGTGTAAATCCAACACAGAGGGCAAGGTAAGAGCCTACGAAAGCAGTTTGAAAACTGCATTTGGAGAGACATGAGACAGGAACTTATTTTTTTTTTAAAAAATGGCCATAACCCTATAATTATTAGTTCTTCTGTATGGTTATCTCTTGAAGTTGTGCAAATTTTTATCTCCACCATTCGTCCTACTTCTCACCATAACCCCCCCCCCCCCAACCTAACTCAGGGTTCTCTTGTACATTAGAATTCCCCAAATTCCCGTTCTCATTCTGATGGCTCAAAGGTCATCAATCCCTGGTGCTGTTCCAGGTGGCTGCATACATCCCTCAACTCGCACGCATGAACCCTGACTATTGGGGCATCAGCGTCTGCACCATTGATGGACAGAGGTTCTCTATTGGCGACGTCAACATCCCCTTCACTCTGCAGTCCTGCAGGTAAGGGCACACCATTAAGACAGACGAGCAATCTGAACCTCGACATTACATTGAGGTGAGCGAGTCTCTGCTGTGAAACACGTGGGACGGAAAGTTTTCAAGACCTTCCACATCTCTTGGCTTAAATGATAAGGTCATGGACTCTTTCAAACAATCACTTCTTACAAAAAGTTTCATAAAGGATTTTGATTGCTTTCAATGAAAATAAACTATTAAGTTTTCTTTCCGATTTCACAGAAGTAAAAATATTACTGTTTGAAATGAGAATGAATAGACGCAACATTCTTAGTTCCCATTTGAGGTTCATGTGTTTTTGCAGCAAGCCACTGACATATGGCATCGCTCTGGATCAGCTGGGTAGCGACACGGTGCACCAGTACGTGGGGCAGGAACCCAGTGGCCGCAACTTCAATGAGCTGGTGCTCGACTACAACAGTGAGTCCACAAGCCTCTTATGTGCCTTCTTTGTAAATACCAATATTTCACGGACAAAGCTATCACAATGCATCAAAACTACATCAGAAGGATTATCACATTTATGAAACACTGGGAATATGTAGCATACACTTTTCTCTATGTACTGTGTTAAATATATAATTACTTTGTGCAAAATTCTGATATTAAAAAAAAGTTTCGCATAAAAGTAGATCCTAGTAAACAAGAACTCCATAAAGCAACAGTCGTCCGTGAGAAGCAAACAGCTGTCAGACAGTAAAAAAATTGTTTTTTGTGTATCCTGAAGGTCCATTACCATTTTCACAAGAACGGCCAATAGATTTTATCCTCGGGTTCGTTAATCCGGTCCATCTATATCTTCGTCTTCCGAGTAGCCTCTTCCCTGTTCATTTCTCATCTCTCCTGTGTTTTGCATGCACCATTCAGAATAAAAATTCACGCTACATTTTTTTTACTGCAGTATAAACATGTTATTTTCCATGATATTTTGTTCTCAAACAGTTTTCTGTGATAAGTGGTACATTGGTAGGTGGTGTAATTGTGAAACCACTACATATTCAGTCTAGGACACTCCATTCAGAAGATGGGCAGTTTCACGTCAATTTTGCGGTCAAATGGTTTGTTCATGTCAAAAAAGGAACTTGCTATTCAGAAGGTACATGATTCTCTCCTCTTGCTGTCACTGTTTCCACATAACACAGAATTAATGACGAGCGCTGTTTTTGTCTTGTTTCTCTCATCCTACAGAGAAGCCGCACAACCCGATGATCAACGCGGGTGCCATCTTGGTGTGCACTCTGCTCAAAACACTTGTCAGCCCTGAAATGACTCTTGGGGAGAAGTTTGATTTCACCACTAACTATTTTAAGGTGTGTTTTGAATGCTTAATTAAATTCAATCCTGCTTATACAGAATCATCTTAAAAAGGATTCTCTGGTTTAAAAAGCCTATTTACTGACGTACCACACTGACAGCAATGGTTCTGACATCACTGATGTTGCCAAAACATTTTTTACTTGCAATAAAAACACTTTTAATGTGTAACCCCAGAGAGTCCAATAGCCGAGACATTGAATGAAATTTTCCATGACTACTATTACACACTACAGAAGATGTGATTTACGCCTTCAACTAAAAATAGGCTGCTACTAATTCCACTAGAAACTTTTAGGAGGATTTAGACATGAAATGTGTGTTCATTTAGTGATGCGAAGTCAAAGAAAAAATATAGGCTTAAACTAGACGATGGCGAAATGTGTGTTCATTTAGTGATGTGAAGTCAAAGGAAAAATATAGGCTTAAACTAGACGATGGGCAGGATTTGAAGCCAGAAACAATCGGTAACATCTGTCATAGTAATTTGGGTCAATTTGTTGAATAAGTACATCATATTGCAGAGACCGTAACATCTGCCATAGTAATGTGGGTCAATTCTTTGAATAAGTACATCATATTGCAGAGACTAGCTGGGGGTGAACAACTTGGGTTCAACAACTCCGTTTTTCTGTCCGAGCGAGAATCGGCCGATAGAAACTATGCGCTGGGCTTCTTCATGCGGGAATACAAGTGCTACCCTGACAAGACTAACCTGAGGGAATGCATGGACTTCTACTTTCAGGTGAGAAGAATGCGCAAATGGGCTTAATCAATTAATTTTATGATTTGTAAATACGTAGATAAATTTATATGAATATACTGTAAAATTACATGTATAAAATAAAAGTATAAATACATTAAAATATATATGGACAAAAAAGAAATCCGTAGACCAGAGACCTTCTTCAGGAGATGATAGTCACTTAGTCGATTAAGAAATTCCCCATCGAAATTAAACCCAAAGGTTCATTTCCATGTTCATAGAGTTCCGTACTGAATCCTATCCTGAGCCAGATGATCAGATAAATAAATAATTAACACAGAAACAATTATTTCATGAATTATGTACAATTAAATATATAGAAATAAAAATTTACAAAGTATATAAATAAATAAGGGAAAAGTTAAAAGTTGCTCCTTGCATACAATGGTGTTGAGGGAAATCTCCAAGATTCAACCTCAGCAATGAAACATCAACTTAATGCTTCATTAATTCTACGCTTTAAATATCTACTGATAATAGTGTCAGGGGATCGCTACCTGTTTCAGACTTGGTGGCAAATGGATAAGCGTCCTCCCCCATCCGGCTATCAAATCATGGGCGTCCAGCACGTTACTAAATTAGTACAGACATGTTTCAATAGGTTTCGTATTTACTACTCATTTTGTTCATGCAAAACATCACACTTTCATCTGGCAGAGGCTTATACAATTCTCGTAGCTCATTACTGTGTACCAATTATATGAATCTTGTAGTGCTGCAGCATGGAGGCCACCTGCGACACTATGGCTGTGATCTCGGCCACTTTGGCAAATGGTGGTATCTGTCCCATCACAGAAGAGAAGGTACTGAAGCCAGAGTCTATCCGTGATGTCCTGTCCCTGATGCACAGCTGTGGCATGTATGACTACTCTGGCCAGTTTGCCTTCAAGGTATGGCACTACAGCTTCCCTAATGCAATTTCAAGTAAGCCGCACATCCTTCGTAACTGTCTCCTCTAATATCTTCTTCTCCACCACCTTCGCTTTCACTCTGTTGTTGCATCCCTGTGGCCTCTTCATCCCTTCTGTTCTCTTTATACATCATCTTCAGTCCCTCTTCGTCCTCCTTCTTATGCTCAAACTTTTCTGTTCTCTTTATACATCATCTTCGTCCTCCTTCTTATGCTCAAACTTTTTCCAATTTCAAGGTCATACTTTGTTTTTACTACAAAGTGAATTTGGACAGTCTGTTATTGCTCATTCTGTCAAGGTGTGTTGGCCATTTTCTTTTATGTATTGTATTTGTCCACTTACTGTATAATTGTTTACAGTAGCACCATAATTTGAAGGTCTTTGTCACCACCTGTGTGTAATGTCAAAAGCTGAAGCATCTGCGAAGGAACATACGTCACGTCTTCATTTGAGCATCAGACGGCAATGCATGAATTCACGAGCTCAAATGGTCAGAGTACACGGCAAACAGTAACAGTGAGCGCCAATACAGAGTAACAGAACTCACAAGCAAAACAAATGACAAGACGAAATTAAAAATAAAACGTAAAAGTTTACCTGTATTTTTTGTTCTTTCTCTACGCACGTTTAATTGAGATTCCAATTCTTCTGACACCCAACAGAGTGAAATCGTGCTCTCTCTCCTGTAGGTGGGGTTGCCTGCCAAGTCTGGAGTATGCGGAGGGATCCTGCTCGTCATCCCCAACGTGATGGGCATCTTCGCGTGGTCTCCACCCCTTGACCCACTGGGCAACAGCTGCAGGGGCTTGCAGTTTTGTGAGGTGAGTGCATATTACATAGTCTGCTTGTAATCCTCCCACAGATAACATGCCTTAATCAGCAGACCGCCAGTGAGAAATATGAGGACAGGACGTACGATTCATCCAGATGCACAACTGACCCGTAAAGGCATTCGGGTAGCATTTCTTCTTTTATGTTTTGCTCCTCGATAAAATATTATTATTGCGTTTATCCTTTCCTCATCTAATTTCTAATTTGGCTATTTTAAATATCAATCTCTACTGCTGTCCCTTAAAACATTTAAAGAACGGAATGAAGTGATTAACATACAATAACATGACATCCTGATCACAACATAACCATCACTGAACTGTCACAGGAGCTGGTTCATGTGTTCAACTTCCACCGTTATGACAACCTCAAGCATGCGTCCGACAAGAAGGATCCAAGACGCCAGAAGTATGAGACAAAGGGCCTCAGCATCGTGAACCTGCTCTTCTCTGCAGCTAATGGTGATGTCACAGCCATGAGGAGGTAAGTAGACACATAACTGTCGCAGAAGATTTTCTGACATCTAATTGCCTTCTAATGTGCAAAGGGCTACAAGGAACTGAAAATCAGTAGACTCATGCCTAAGTCTACTGCTCACCCTAAAAGTTATCAGCTCGTAGTTTTAGCCGTAATATTTGTAATTTCAAGCATTAAAAAATTTTCATGGAGAACTTATAAGCGTGCTTATAACTAATTTCGTGGAGAACTTATAAGCGTGCTTATAACTGCTCACCATACGAGACTTCGTCTTGCCACAATAATGAATTATGTATCGCTTCGAATCTGAAAACTAAATTGCAGTTTTCATGTGTTAAGCTTAGTTTAGCTTGATGTGGTGTAGTTAATGACACTTTTCAACTGCGTTAGTTGTGTAGCAACAAATAAGACGGGTGCTGATAGTAAATGATGAATATCAGAGGACGTGGAAAGAATTGGCAGGGATTTATTTTAAAGTTCTGTCCCAGAATTTCCCTGCAGAGACTGAAGAAAACCTCAAATAATGTCAGGTTAGCCAGTTGACATTCAAACCTGAAACTTCCCAAATATAGAAAAACAACCAAGTACTTCAACCAAGATGCTCATTGCCTTGTTCTAATCCCTACAAAAACAGACTTAAAAACGAAACGGGCTTCTGGAAAATATATTACGACACATTTCAGTACACTTCAGCGTACCTCTTCGGGAATTCATAAGGTCACCATGTTGAAATTTCTGAGGACATAGAATTAAAAAGTACAACAGTAAGAGTAAAATCCAATGAAAATAAATCAATTAAAAACTTATTAAGGGGTACAAGACTCTATAAGCTGTATTTCTGGTAACACTTCGTATTCCAAATGAGCTATATTCACCCAAAATCCACCTTCTACACCCTGAAATACCTCCTTCGATCTGTTCATACAAACAAATGTATTTTCTAAAAGTACTCATCACTGAAAGAGCTAAAAATTAAAATGTTAAGTTTTAACAAACCCCTGTGAAGATGTTTCTGTGCAGGCATAAGCTGTCAGGAATGGACATGACTCTTTGTGATTATGACGGCCGCACTGCACTCCATCTGGCAGCTGCCGAAGGACACCTCAATTGTGTGACCTTCCTCCTGGAACACTGCAATGTGCCACACAACACCAAGGACAGGTCAGCACCATTCACAATACTCCCTGATAACACTTTGTTTAGTAGAAGAATGTATTCCTCTGCAAATGTAATCACAATGAAGTAAATCGCTAATAACATTAAACTTGAATTTCTTTTCACGTGTTTGTACATCCAGGTGGGGAAACATGCCTATAACAGAAGCAACAACATTCGGGCACCAAAAAGTTGTCGACTACCTGCGGCTGTGGGAAGCGACGCATACTGAGCATTCAGAACAGGCAGAAGAAATTCCTATAAGAAAACAAGCATCAGAAGAAAGCGTCCCTCTTCCATAATCTCTGCCTGACAGTGGGGCAAACCCCCAGAAATCTCCAGCTTTTGTTCCTAAAGAGATCTCTGCCTGACAGTGGGGCAAATCCCCAGAAATCTCCAGCTTTTGTTCCTAAAGTTGAAGGTGTTTTCTGACATATGACATTTCAAAACAAACATGGAAATAGTGCAGGTTTTCTGAACCTGTTCGTCGCAATCTCATGATATACGCGTGGTCGTCACGTTCATATCTGCCATTTACAGAACTAACCCATCACCCAGAACAAAATTAAAGTTGGCTAAACCGCATAGCATCTTTGTTTCCTTTTAATCTGTTATCTGAGCTACCTCAGAACATGTTTTGAATTATCTACAATTTGTGTGAATAAACAAACTTTGTGTTTCATGGAACAAAATTAAATTCACCAAGCTTTCAGAATACATTAATATATGTACCAACATAAATACCACATTTAATTCAAATCTGCAAACTGGGTTTGGAAATTAATGAAGACACTAAACAGATATAATTTTCTGCTTCATAAACACAGCACAAAAAAATACATTATAATATGGCAATATCTGTTACTGAACTGTTAATGCCTTCCTCTCCAAAGCAGAATCAAATGTTTTCCCATACTAAAAGTAAGTAAACAGCCTGCATTTGTTACATTCTATCGCTAGTACTACCCATGCACAGGGCGGGCAAACGCAATATTCTTCATTAAATCACGGAACTAAAAGTGACAGTGGAACCACGGTTCTGGAGAATTTGACGTAAATATGTCTATACGGAAAGGAAGTTTATATATTGGCTTTATTCTAAATATTTCCTTTATACATGCTTTACAATTGAGATAAGTTTGATTAAGACATTGCTTATTCAACTTGAATTAGTTACGCTTAAGATGGGTCTGTGGTAGCTGAATGTAATGTAATGTAAAGTTTTATAGGTAACAACAATGCCGAGTAAACAGATGACGTTTCCTAAGTAACATAACAATGAAGTTACACTTTTTCGTAACACATTTTTGCCGAATGACACCGACCTTAAAATATAGACGTATTTACATCAAAAACTTCAATAAAATGTTAAACCATCTTTAACTGTGCTGTGATTTAGTTTTATGGTAAATTTTTCTGCATGTTCTGTCTCAATGTTGTTACTGCAATCACTATTGTAGCATAAACTTGTCATTGTCACACGCATGTCTCTTTTAAGATCTGCTTAAAGGCATGTCTAAATTTTAAGTATAGTTGAACCCTCTTACAGCACTACACACTTTCCGCTACCAATAGAAGCATTAAAGACGGGGTTATAATGTATTAAAGTGCCAAATCGTGTGTGAAATACTGTTGTTGGTATAAAAGACATGAAAATTTTTGAGTATGAATCCGAGTATAACAATCTTGTGTAATAGTACAATTTTATTCAGTATTAATCTTCACCATAGATGGGCAATGTAACAGGGTTTGACCTACATTATTTTTGTAAGTTTACTCTATATTCTAGTGTTATCAGTAGTGGCACTAATTACAAGAATAACTGCTAATTTTATAGACAATGGAGACGTCTGATCTCACACCTTTAAAGAAAAGATATTACTTTGGAAGATAACAATCACGTATCTAAATAAATTTAAAAATGTAAATTTACATTAGATATGCATATAATGTAATATAAAAATGTCTTGATGAAATAGAAAGGGCAGACACTGTATATTTTCATTACATTACATTATACATAAATTGTTATATATTCCCTCTTTAAACTCTAATAATCTGTTACTCAAAATATACTAGATATATTAGAATAGCTTGCATTTATGATAGTGATTCTTCCATGATAAATTATAAAGTTCAGCAATAACCTTGTCGATTATTAGAAAAACCACTGACGGACATAAATAATTTCGTAGGCGCATTGTATGTAAGATATCAGCATGTTCATAACACTTTAGACAGACGGTGAGTTACATCGCCGACAGCCACATGCATATAAGGAACAGTCAGAGTTCAATGAGTGGGATATTTTAATTTTATTTTTAAAATATAGGTAACATGATCTTTGCTTATTTCTGACACATATGGTGTTCATTTGTAAGAAAATTGTATCTTTATGCAGCCATATTCCTACATGTACACTGTCCATTCCATAATCCACGTCAAAGGCCCAGCTCATTTATTGCATCATGTGGATTAACAATAATATGTAGAAGTTTGTGACATATAATGTCTAACTTAAAATGTTTCTTAAAAATGTCGTACAACTGTATTACTTCCATTTTAAGTAACCAAAAGATACACAATCATCCAAGCTTAATACTGAAAAATATCTACCCAGGAACCTAATTACCATTTTTACCATCAAATCTATGTAAAAAAAGTTTTTCATTCCCATGTTTCACTTCAGCACTGGGAATACAACTTCCATATAGATTGGAGCGTCACTATGAAGTGATACCAAACATAACCTTGTTGTGAGACAGAAAATGAAAATTCATCCAGTAGAATTATACTCCTACTCCTCCTTTGTACTCAAATGCCTAAAATGGGACACAATAATTTCCAAAATTTCAGAGATTATAAGATAAACATTGGTAATATCTACACAGTGTCATATCCCAGAAGAAAGTCACCTTCATACTTGTTGAACTGAGAGTCTCTCACCCATATACACATTCAGTCGGATATACCGACACAGATTAAAGTTATAGCACTACTCTTTTGTGTGGAGGTATGTTCTTGCTGCTGGAGAAGACTCAAAACAATGGACAATAATTGGATCAGGTTAAATGGTGTCAATGTATTTAAAAATGTGTTGTCATATTGCACCAACTTCAATAACAATGATGATGTCAAATGATACTCATATTACTGTACCTATACCAGCAATATACATAAAGTATGTTATAACTGAGAGTTATTGTTACTATGGTAATTGTAAAGGATCAATAAAAACAGTCACAAGAACCAAATGCTGTGTTGTAAAACCTGAATCCAACGATGCCCCCCCACAAAAAAAAATGCAGAAAGACACGGTAGTTATGTTGATGACACTTATCTGTAAAAATACAGATAAACTTCAATACAATGATTAATCAAGAAAATATATATTTTTTTACATAAGCTTATAAACAGAAAGCTTAAAGTTCTGATCCTCTGATTGTGTATATAATATAAAATACACTTTAAGAATATGTTAGGTTCCTTAACCATTCTTGGTACACAACAAGAATGTCTGGGAGTTAGTTGTAAAATCATACTGTCCTTCAAATACTTAAATTTACATAATGAGGCTATAGGCCTAAAAAAAATATATTAGAAATTAATAATAATTTAATTTAGAGGCCTAGTAGTAAATTTTATCTTTTAACACACATAAATATGATCCAAACAAAGCCTGTACCTTTGATTATGTTCTATTTCTGTACCAAATTTCAATTTTATCTTTTAACACACATAAATATGATCCAAACAAAGCCTGTACCTTTGATTATGTTCTATTTCTGTACCAAATTTCATACATTTAGCCTGAGAGTCACAGCTAGTCAGTCTCATTTACCACATTAGGCATTTTCAGTCAGAGCCCTTCTTGAATGTTCTTGTTAATCATATATGGGAATTTTTTCTACAATCTGGACTTCAAAATCACATTTCTGTGAGTCATCCATTGAAACAAGTCAGAATAAATAAACACATGCATAAACCACGCAAAAAGAAAACATTGTCTTTGAATTGAAACTGTCAAATAGGTTCAAGTTCGGTTGCCTGAACACCGTTTTCTGCGTCATTGTGGGACAGATTGTACAGGTAACAACAGACGGCGATTCATGGAAAATATAACGTTAACGTCATGGCGTGATCTTACCAGTGAGAGAACAGCTTTGATGGAAAATATAACGTTAACGTCAAGGTGTGATCTTACCAGTGAGAGAACAGCTTTACTGTTTAACAATCTAACTAAAGGATAATTACATCATCAATGCTTCCATACTACTCACACACCGTAATCGACGCACCTACTCCTACAACTCTGCCCGCTCGCGTCGATCCACCCAACGTTTGTTATACAATGCCATCTGTCCGCAGTTATTTTAAGTAGTCTAACGTACTACCGTCACTAGGTGACAGAAATTTCAGAATCACAAAATATCCCAACGTTTACTACAATAATTTCACTTTTATTTAAAAATTGTTGTAATAAATATAAGTTTATGTGTAACTAATTTCATACAGTTGGAGAAGTATACATATATGGAGGGATACTACCAGATACTCACATTAGTTTAAACATTTCATCACAATGTCTCACATATGAAACATGTAGTCACTGTTTTAAATTGGAAAACGACACGACAACGCACTGCTATATAACCTAAAGATGGCTCATTAGCCATGCAGTTGATACGAATTTTTGGAGTGGATTTTAATATCCAACATGAATGTTTATTTAAAGGAATGGATAAATATTGGAATGATGGTTTTGTAAAAGGATTCTGTATGTGTGTAATGAGCAGTTGCAGAATTCAATAATGTAACTTCCTTACGTGTATGAACACAAGACAATTAGATTTATCATTGCACCTGTTCACAGGCTGACTTCTGGTATCTATGAATAACCTTTATCAGGCTAAGCGAGAACAATACCACAGCTAATTACATGATTCCATGACTCCCCCTCATTACTCCAAAAACAACATGTGTGTATTATTTATCTTAACACCATCAATAGAAACGAAATTCATTGTCTTTTGAAGAAAGTTATGACAATTCCTTCATATATTTCAGTCTATATGATGGAGTTAGCAAGAAATGTAAATTAATAATTATATTATTTATAAACCCACTTGTATCATTTTTGAATACGTTAAATTTGTCGAAGTTCCGCTCTATCACCGTCTTTATATTTACTGACATGTAACAACATAAATACAGCCACGGTGGTCTAGCGGTTAGAACGCTGACCTTGTAATCCTGGGGGGTCTCGGGTTCGATTCCCGGAGGTGCCCGAATTTATAACTTGTGTTGGGCAAGGCCGTGGTCTAGGCAACACGGAGTTTTCCTCCGTGGCATCCCAACAATTACTCCATTCACACACAGAAGAAGGCAATGCCAAACCACTTCTGGATCATCTGCCAAGAACGTATATGAACAGGCCCCAGTCCGAGAAAAGGATGGAAGGACCCTGTTCATATGGACCTGTCGCCAGACAGAACACTAAAAATAATAAGATGAGGTGGTCTAGCGGGTAGAACGCTGGCCTTGTAATCCTGGGGTCTCGGGTTCGATTCCCGGCGGTGCCCGAATTTATAACTTGTTTTGGGCAAGGCCGTGGTCTAGGCAACGCGGAGTTTTCTTCCGTGGCATCCCAACAATTACTCCCTTCACACACAGAAGAAGGCAATGGCAACCCACTTCTGGATCATCTGCCAAGAACGTATATGAACAGGTCCCAGTCCGAGAAAAGGATGGAAGGATCCTGTTCATATGGACCTGTCGTCAGACAGAACACTAAATAAATAATAAATAATAACAACATAAATAAGGATCAGAGTATCAATCCATTTACGTTTTTGTAAATACGGACAGACATCCTGACTACAACAAAATAATCTGTAATCATATTCCCCACTGACAATGACACAAATGGCCGAGGTCAGAAGTTTTTGATTGTTTTTGTTTTGTGTGTGTGGGGGGTGGGGGGGGCGAAATCCCCGACTGTTACTTTTAGACAACTCATTCTTTTTATTGTCCCTATTTACAACACCTATCGATGTAAATAAAAAGGTAATGAACGTTGAGGACATTACCTTGGGTGAACAAAAATTGATTCGTGACTATGACAGAGACACACGCTCGAGGTTCATGGTATTTATTGTACAAAGCTGCCATTTACCTGGATTCATAGAGAAGTAAAACTGATTGTCCCGATAAAATATCCGTGTGTATGAGCCACGACAAGTGTGCAACAGCATTGTCACTGATCTGCTTTGTGATTGGATAAAAAATAATAGACTATATACAGGGCAATGAACACGTGTTAAGGGAACACTCAATACACAACGATAAAGTTAATAATTTTATACAGCTCACCTCGTAAAATCAAGTAGGCTTTTAAAATTAAGGGCACGTAGCTCGGATAAAAATAGCAAATATGTACAGAATTTTGTTCAGTAAGACCTTTTGGGGAAAAAAAAAAGTTGGAAAACTTTAAAATATATATATGTGAGAATACAGGTTATGGAAATGTGAAATTGTTTAAAATGTTTTAACATCGTTTTACTCTTTTTATATCCTACTTAACGGTACTTATTAGTTCCATAATAAAAAGTAAAATAAAGTAAAGCTGTCTCACTTTTCGCCATTTAGGCGCTTGGGGGGAGAGGCTGTATAGTTTTCCACTCATTCTTGACGTCGGCACTAGATGGGGGTGAGTGGTCAGCATCACGCCCCGGCCGGCTTTACCCCCGGGAAAGGACCCCGGTACCTATTGTAGAGGAGGCTGGGTGGGCCCCACGTCGATCCATATTAGTTCCATAACGTCGAAGAAAACGGCCGTGACCTACTTTAAGGTTTACGTGGGAAGACAAACCACAAAAACCTTTGCTCGAAACGGCCTAGAGCGGGAGAGGTGATTGAGTGCGAGTCTTCACCTCGACTCTCGTCCACCGCCTACGGGCTTCGACAATTCCGAGTTCTGTTACCAGAAAGTTATTCGGTTGATAGTTAATTACCTTCAGAGTTCATAAGTACGACGCCCAGTCAGTTAATCAGTCCGGGTTGTTTACTTGGCTGAGTTTCTGCCTCGTATCGTAGCAATTTGAAGCCGGAATAGTCATTAGTGCCCAATCCCTGACGATGATGATATTTTTTGACTGTTGGTCTGTATAAACTACTACAGATTTTCAAAAAAAAAATTGTACCTTGATCGTGAATTTAAGACTGTTTTATCTAACATTACTTCCGCAGAAGTTTAATTAATTATTTAAGCCTCTGCGCCTGAATCCAGAGAGTGTTTACGTCGATATATTAAACCATATCAGTATTTATGCTGGTAAACTAAGCTCACGATCTACCTTGTGGCCAATATGTCGGCACGCTCTTTTAATAAGCACGAATTGCCGACAGACACGCGACCTGCAGACAAGAACACTGACAAACGTGGATAATAAGTCAGTTGTATCTCGGGCACGGTAAAAGTGTAACCTCGTAATAATTCCGCGGAGGTTTTTCTATAATCTCGTGACTTGCAAATAACATTAACAGTGAAACCTCGTTGTAACGCTTTTGCACGAAGTTTTGTTGAAATCGACGAGTAACAGTCAAATTTCAAAGAGACAAATTTTAGTTTAACCAATTATTTAAAAAAAAAACTGTGAACCTGATATTTTCAACACTTTTTAATTCAAAATTGCAGTTTAATTTTTTTAATAGATAAAATATGTTTCCTATTGCTCTCCCTTCGAACGTTTACTCCCAGAAGAGAGATTTTAAAACAAGCAAAATTAATTAAAATGGAACGGTAGACTTGCAGTTTTCTATCCATTGGTCAAAATACAAAAATAAAAAATCTTTTTAAAAACCTGAACATATGAAATCACATGGTAGGTCTTACATTTTATCACTATGTTTAACGTGAAATTAAATTAAAATAATTATTTCGATACTTCACCAATCCATTCGCTCCCAGTAAGGTTTCTGCAATGAGTAGCTAGCGATCTCGAAAATTCTCGTGTTCTTCAGTTTAATAAATCAAAATATTGAAATATATCGCTATTTTACAGAATTAATAGAGTTTCGTTTTAGAAGCTTATGAAATTTTGTACACTTAAAAGTAGTCACTCAAAATTCCGTGTTTTAAACTTTAGCGACTGGCGTTAAAAATTTAAACACTTAAGAAAAAATATATGTAATTATACTCAGCCCAAAACTTACAGTTTAAGTAACAGTCTTTGTCTCTGTTGCCACACGCGAAAATGTATTTCGGGAGTATAACAATTATTTATTTTAATCCGTCTGATCACAATATTTAAAATTTCTTATAATTAAGATAATAAAAATATCATTGATGTTCCATATCGATTGATCGATTTACATTTCGGAACATTTACACAACATGTTTCGGTTTTTATAAAACCATCATCAGGTGTAAAATATATCTAAGAACTTAAAACTCAATTATGATTTCTGTAGTATTTTGGTGATGTTTCATTACGTTTGTTTTTCCATTTTGGGCGAAGGTGTTGTTTTTCTTAAATGTTATTAGATGTACATATCGGCCTGTAAGTAAATGATTGAAAGAAACACTAAAAGAATTTGAAAGAATTTATAAAAGAATTTAGAGAATAAAATGCAAAATATATAAATTATAGTTAGAAAGTATCAATAAAATAAAAATAAAAATAAAACATACCAAAGATGTAGGAGTGAGTGTAATTCACCGAGTGACATATGGTAGGTTGCGACTTCTTCTCTCCTATATGATAAAGAAGGAATTTTGAAGCGAATTTAAAACAGTGGCATTGATAGATTTGAACGTTGTCAGTAAACAGCTACACAAATTATCCTAGCTTAACATTTCCACAAAATACATCACAAACCAAACAAATACGTTCCGATCCGACATGACGAAGACTCTGCAAATTGTACCAATGACGTATTCCAATCGACACGCCACTCACAAACACGCGCAATTCTGTTTTCTTTGATAATAATAATACATCTTTTTATAAGAAGTCGCGGCTTTCGTCATTTTTAACCTGTTTAAACGTCATTATTTTATATTCTACAGCTGGATACAAATTTCTACAGGCGCGCACAGCGGAAGAACGTCTTCATTTTTTCGAATGGAACAAATAGTTGCCAAGGATGTCACAATGCGCTTGTGGGTGATGGGGAACAACAACGGTAGGCGTGGAGACACAAAGTTAACAGAGAGGGATCCATTCGGCTTGAGGAATCTTCCTATGGACGTCGCGAACTCAGAATCAGAGCAGCGTGATATCTTCTACACCAATATGGCGCCTGCCTTGGAGGTCCTGAGGGCTATGGGAGCTTTGCCGATTCAGACTCTTCGTGTCAACAGGAATTCTTTTTCTGGTAACTAACAGGAGCCCTTAGCATTCGTACTCACCGCCGTGAGAACCTCAAATCATTGTCTTGTTTTGGTAATATTTATAAACTGGTTCTTTATTGAATGCAGCGTACACGTTAAGATCTGGTTCTACCATAAAAAGTATTTAGAAAATAATAAGTTTAAAAAACCGATTAAATCTCCAGGCCGTAGACTGACCTCGCCGGTGATGCTGTGGTCTGCGAGCATGTACGCCGGGCTGCTCACGGCTCTTTGGTTCGCCTACAGCCAGGGTTTCGTCACCACGCTTAACTCACAGTCCTTTGAGACCACGCTGATTGGCTACCTTGATCTCGCTTACCACCTCATCGACCTGGCGGTGCCTTTCAACAACTGGAGGGAGGCTCGGTTGGTCGCACAGTACATGGCGAGCTGGTCCGCCTTCCAGGTCAGGAACGAGTCAAAACACAAGACGACCTAAGATAGGATTTATGGCGGGCCCTTGTAAGCACGGTGACAAACCTTTGGGTTCCATCAATTGACTCTCTAAGCAATTATTAATTTCTCAATGAAGACTAGACTTATTTAATTTAACAGGTTTTATCTTCTATTTCCTTTAAAATATTATACGATAATTTATAATAACATATTAAATCAGATACCTAGTCTGTTAGAACATCTAATATACGAGGTGCGATCGGAAAGTTTCTAGACTGCGCCTATAAAAACCCGTACACTTATCTCAGGTATTAAATT